TGCAGTTGGCATGATTCTAAAGAATCTCTGAAAATGGAAAACCTCACCAAGGAATCCACTCCTTCCTGGCGTTTGCCATTCAAAGATTTTTCAAACTTTAGTTTTGAAGGTAATTCAAAGCTTAACACAGGGAAATGTTTACAGCAGCTCAATTCACAATAATTAAGTTGTGGAATCAACCTAGGTGCCCTTCCACAAATGAATGGATAAAGAAAATGCTTACCATAGGGAGATTCACAGGAAGATAAAAGGCATCTTCATTCTAAAGTTCCCTGGACTATATCTCTGCTGATGTAGAACATTTTCTTCAAAAGAGCACTTAAAATACTATTTTTTATGCTTAACCATACATGATTAATTTTTTAAAAAATATTTTTTAGTTGCTGATAGACTTTTATTTTATATATTCATTTGTGGTGCTGAGAATGGAACCCAGTGCCTCACACATGCCAAGCAAATGCTCTACCACTGAGCCCCAGCCCCAGCCTGCTTAATGTTTATAATAGCATGTGACTATAGTTCGTTTTCATAATCAATTTTGTAGGTATAAAGTGGTTCTTTTGAAATGAAGTTCTTATAATAATATATCTATAGAACAGAAGGTTTTGCTTACAGTCTTTTTAAGTCTTGATTTTCAAGACTTTGTACCTAAAATTTGTATGACTAATTCTGTTCTAAATGAGATTCTAGATAAGCTCTAGAAGGACTTCCCTGAGCCTCAGTTTTCACATCAATAAAAAATAAAGAGATTGGGCTGACTGCCTGCATATCAGTATGTTACTAACACATCTTGGAATACATTTATTTGGAAGATTTTCTTATCCACTATAAAACAGTTAGCGTCGTCAGGATAGGCCCTCGTTTTTCTTTTTCTTTTGATATCACCTATCTATAACTAATGCATAGTAAATTATTATGTATATTTATTTTTTAATTTCTGGTACTAAGGATTGAACTCAGGGGTACTTTATTACTAATATACATCCCCAGCCTTTTTTAAGTTTCAGACAGTATCTCACTAAATCACTCATGCTAGTTTCAGTCCAGTGTTTTCTCCACCTCCCTAGTAACTGGGATAACTGGTGCACCATCGCACCTTATTCATTTTTTAAAGGACACTTTTACAAATCTGCTGATATTATTTATTCATAGTGTCTTTAGAAGTTTTTTTCAAAATGTTATTATATCAAACTTTGAACAAAGCATAACCATTGTGAAAATGAGGTCATCTTGTGTCAGATTCAATGTGTTAAAGGCAAGAGAAAGTATTTGAAAGAGAAAGTATTAACCACAAAATACAAACTCTCTCTGCTTCAATATTGAGGTTTTATGTTAAACATATCAATAATATGATGAATTTTTTACTTTAAAGTACTTGCTATTCATGACATTTAAAAATCAACTGTAAGTAATATTTTGCACATGAAGTGAATTCAATTTATGTATTCAGTATGATGTTTTGACAAATATTTATACCTATATAACTACCAAAAATCAACACATTGAAGATTTGCATTGCCCTAGGGATTCCTGTGCTTATTCTTAATCTATTCTCCCCACAAACATCCCTAACCCTAGGCAACTCTATAGTTACAGATTAGATTTTCCCTTTTCAGAGTTCCACATAAAAGTAATCATATACTATGTAATATTTTGTGTCTGGCTTCTTTTGCTCTGCATAAAGTTTATGCAACTTATTCATGTTGCACATACAGTAGTTTATTCCTTTCTATTGCTGAGTAATATCCCATTGTATGATTGCACTAAACTTTGTCTAATCACATGTTAATGGACACATGGGTTATTTTTAGTTTGGGGTGCTATGACTAAAACTGCTATGAACATTTGTATCCAAGTCTTTGTGTGAATATATGTTTTTATTTCTTTTTCTTAAACATCAAGAACGAAATTGCTGAATCATATGGTAAGGGTATACAGATCTTTTTAAGAAATTGCCAAATTGTTTTTCAAATCAGTGTTCTCTTTAGCCTTGTATGAGAATGCCAGTTGTTTCACATCTTTGCCAACATTTTGAAACATTAGTCACTTTAGTGGTGGTGTAGTGACATATCATTGTGGATTTAATTTGAATTTCCCAAATGACTAATAAGATCAAGCACCTTTTCGTATACTGTTGACTACTTCTATATTTTCTTTGTAAAGTATCTATTCAAACTTTTTGCTCATTTTAAACAATGAGATTGTTCTATTGAGTTGTAAGAATTTGTTTTATATCTGGATACAGATTCCTTGTTAGGTAAATGTATTGTGAATATTTTCACTTTTTAATGTTGTTTTTAAAACAGTAAATTTTTACATTTTTGATGAATTCAATCTTTTTTTTTTTCTTTTTAGATTATTGCTTTTTTTCCCCCTTGTACTTGAGAAATCTTTTCTTTCTCCAAGGTCATAAAGATTCTGCTGTATTCTTCTAGAAGTTTCATAGATTTAGCTTTTATGGTTAGCTCTATCATCCATTTCTAGATAATATTTGCCTATGATATATAAAGATTCATTTTTATATGGATATCCAATTGTTACATTTATTAAAAAGATTATACTTTCCATATAGAAGTACCTTAATTCTTCTTCTTATCATTTAAAAAAATTTTTGGTACTGAGGATTGAACTTGGGGACACTCAACCACTGAGCCACATCCCCAGCCCTATTTTGCACTTTATTTAGAGACAGTCTCACTGAATTGTTTTTGCTGAGGCTAGCTTTGAACTTGTGATTCTCCTGCCTCAGCCTCCCCAGATGCTGGGATTACAGGCCTGTGCCACTGCAACTGGATAATATCTTAACTATTTGACTGAAATCAGTTGACTCTATACAGATGGCTCTATGTCTGGACTCTTATGTTCGGTTTCATTGATCTATGTGTCTCTTTATGCCTACCACACTGAATTGAAAATTGTAGTTTTAGAATAAGGTTTAAAACTAAGTCTGTACCTGTTCCAATTTTGTTCTTCCCATACATTTCCATATAACTCTTAAAGAGTTAGCTTGCCAAGTTAAAAGAAAAAAATCTGCTGGGATTTGGGGTGAACTGACATTTTCATAGTACTGAGTCTTCCAATTCAGTAACATGCAATAGTTGTTTCTTTCTTTCAGCAGTGATTTATGGTTTTCAGTAGTGAGTTACAGTTTTTAGTTACAGGTGTAGGGCATGTTTTGTTGAATTTATCCCTATATAGTTAATGTTTTGGGATGGTAATAAACATTGTATGGATTTAAACTTAATTTTCCTTTTTTTTTTTTTTTTTTGCTGGTATGTAGAACAATAATTGTTTTTTGTCACGCTGTCCTTGTTTCCTGTCCCTAGTTTTAGTAGCTTTTTCCCTTAGGATCCTTAGGATCTCCTAATTATTCTTCTAATTATTCAACGTTATCATTTGTAAGTACAAATGGTTGTATTTCCTCCTTTCTGATTTGATAGGGTTCCATGGTATTCATCAAATTTGAACAATTTTTTTCAGCCATTTCTTTCCAAAACATGCCTTGGACCCACTCTATGGCCTTCTTCCTCCTTTGGTCTTCCTGGAAGTTTTCTAAATTCCCCAGAGCGGGCAGATAGTGTCACCTGGGCGAGGCTCTCAGAGGGAGACCAAACCATACTGGGTCCTGATTTCTCCCTTTGGGTGCGCTCTGGGATGACCGGAGAAGCTAAGGAGCCCCTAAATTGGTGTCTAGGGGTGGTACGGTGGTCCTTTCCCTGGTGTTCACGGCTAGGCTTGGAAGTGATCCAGGAAAACTTAACTTGCTGATAGCTTCTGTAGGTTTGTGCAGAATTTGTTTCTCTGGACTAAGGAAGATGTGTCACCAGAATGGTGGCAAACACACTAATTTGAGGTGACAAATTTTTGGGAGGCCTGTGCATGTTTTTCACAAACAGCTCCGTGAGATAGATTTTTAAATTATTCTTACCTTCAGTGAGGAAACTGAGGAAAAGAGAGGTTAAGTTGCCCACATTCACACTGCTAATGAGACAGGTGGAGTCAGGAATTTAGGGTTTGAATTTCAGTAATCTGACTCCAGAGCCTGTCGTCTTAACCCCTGTGCTTTAAGGGGAAAGAGGGGAGAACTACCAGGAGAAAGCACGGATCTTGAAAGGAAGAAGGAAAAAAAAAATGAAAGAGATACATAGAATAGAGAATAGTGGGATACCAATAGTGGGATACTCTTCCTGTCTGGCTGGGAAGAGTTCTGATTAGTTTCATGACTCCGTTACCTTATTATCTGTTCAAACTCTCCCTCTCCCCGCTCCACTTGGCCCTAGGGATTGCCCCTAAGGGCGCTTGTACCACTGAGCTACTTGCCCAACCCTTTTCATTGTTTATTTTATGATAGGGTCTTGCTAAATTGCTGTGGCTGGCCTACAACCTGTGATCCTCCTGACTCAGCCTCCCTAGTCGGTGGGATTACAGGAGTGCTCCATCATGCCCGATTCAAACTTTTCTTTTTTGGTGTTTTCTCATGTCCTCTTTTCCTCTACCTTCCCCAAACCATCCATCGTTCTGCGCTGAACAGTTATATCCACGGCTCCGGTAGAATCCACCGAAGTGGGGCAGTCTCATTGTAATAATTCACCTTCTACATGCCCATCTAACCAGCAAAAAATGAAACGGGGCAAAGGGGTGCTTCTTCCCTAGAAGACAATGAATCTTTGGCGGGAAGACCCACTTTTGGACTCCAAGGCTAGAAACTGCTTTACAAGTAAGTTTGCAGCAAGGTGCATATCACCAGAGCGCAGGACGTCTGGGGAGTCTGTCTAGGAAGACGCTTCCCCAGCTAGCAAGCCGATATATTCTCCAAGGAAGCGCAAACCACAGCGCCTCCTGCGAAAAGTGACCAGGGGCTCGCCGACCAGAGGCCCCACTGCCCAGGCCCTGCGGACCGGCCCCCGGGCTGGCGCTCTCCCGAGAGGCGGGAGCGGGGACAGGGGCGGGGCGGCGGCGGCGGCCGGGGGCGCCCGCTCCTCCCCCTCGCGGACGGTCGGGCTGACGGCGCTGAGCCCCCTGCGCGCGGCACATGGGGCGCTTGACCGAGGCGGCGGCAGCGGGCAGCAGCGCTTCAGCGGCTTGCTCCGCCGGGTCCCCTCCCACTCCCCTGCCCCTCTTTTCCACGTCCCCCGAGAGCGCGGCCACCATGGCGTCCAGCGAGGAGGACGGCACCAACGGCGGTGCCTCCGAGGCCGGTGAGGAGAAGGAAGCCACGGGCAGGAGAAGGCGCCTCAGCTTCCTGGCCACCGCCTGGCTCACCTTCTACAACATCGCCATGACCGCAGGGTACGTGTGCCCCGAAGGTCCTTCACCACCCACAGGCCCTCCTCGCTCTGCTGCCCCCCGACCTGCCTGGAGCAGGGTGCGGGGTGCGGACCGGGAAGGCGCGGCTCCGGCAGCGAGCGGCTCGGGCGCACCGGGTGCGCGCGGACCCGGCTGCGGGCTGGCGGCGGCGGCGCGGGGGTGGGCGCGGCGCCGGGGTCGCGGGCGGTGGCCGTGGGGGAGGGGCGCGGGCGCCTGCCCCGCCGCCACCCGGGTTGAATGGAGCGGGGCGGGCGGGGGAGCCGGGCGCTGCTTGCTGGGCATTGCCTAATACGGTACATGGCGCGGCGCAGCGGCCGGGGCGCGGGCCGGAGGTTAAGTATAGACCGGGGCAGGAATTCGGGACCGACCCGCGGGGGAGGCGGCCGGGCCCGGTCGCCCGCTTTGCCACCGCCTTCGGCTGCCGTTGAAGGAACGCCCGGGTCCTGCCACTCAGGAGCCCCGAGCCGCCCGCACAGACTGCAGATCCTCTTTGAGGGCCGGTTCCTCAAAGCAGAGCGTGCGGTTCCTGGTGCTGCAGATCCCAGGGCAATTTTTCTTCACTGTTAATTTCGCCGTAACTCTTCATTAATTAATTAAATTCAAAGCATTGTATGTCTTAGAGCTTCTTATGTGGAATAGTTTTTTTAAACCCTGTCTTATCAGAGCACGACAGTTGTGTCCAGCATCTTTATGGCTCCACATTCCATTACTGATACCCTGTCCTTTTTATTTCTGGCTCGTCTTATGACTTACAAGTGAGATTTACACAATAACTGTTCACTCTTCAAAGAGCTGTATTGATGACTTCTGTGTCAACTTGTTCCCCAAACCTGGGAGAAAATGCTTTTCAGTTGCAAAATTACATCCCCTTTTGAAAAGTGATTTTTCCCAGTGTCACACAAAGTATTATTAACCTATATAAATGTGAGGAGAAGTTTACTATTTTAAACTTTCTCCAGGGCTTATAGAAAAAAAATGTGATTGATAAAGATTTAATAAACCTTTTAGTGCGGTATTATAAGCTTAGCCTATTTTACTGAATACCAAAAGTAGTATATGAATATATATTAATTGAGGAATTACTATGTGCCAATTACTGTGCTGGTTTTTCACATGTATTAACTGTTTTTAATTCTCCACATCCTGCAAGGGCACATGATACTACATTTTATAGATTAGGAAACTGAGACTCAGGTCAAGATCACAAACAGCACCTAGAGTTGTCCTACTTCATCTTTGTGCTTTCCTAAGTTTTATAATCTTTTTTAAATATTTTTTTAGTTGTAGAAGGACATAATACCTTTATTATTATTATTTTTTAATGTGGTGCTGAGGAACAGCCCAGTGCCTCACACTTGCTAGGCAAGTACCCTACCACTGAGCTACAACCCCAGTTTTATAATCTTGACAGGAGACAAAAATAATATATTCAAAGCAAATGGAGAACAATTTAGTGTTCATCATGTGATGCTGCCTTGAAATTCAGTTGGGACTGAAAGATTTCTCTCTGCTCTTGGATAATTTCATTAATTTAATAAACATCTTTAGAACACGTGCCTTGTGTTAATTCATTCACTGTCCCTTCCCTTTATGTCCACTCTCCACTTTGAAGGCCAGATTACCATTTCAGACACTGCATTTTAAAGCCTTCAGTGAGAAGAAATAAGGATAAAAGCAAATAAATAAAAACCAGCCTTTAGTGACTTTACACCTCCTCTCTAAGGGATTTAGGCTGTCACTCAAGCCCAATTTCCCCTGCAGTCTTCTTACATTTGAAATCTCTATTGGTCCTCAAAGCACCAAGCATTTTTGTGGTCTTTGCTATGTTTGCCCAGTTTCTTCTCTCTTTGCATGGTGCCCTCCTTATTTTGCCCATGACTTCTAACCAAGTCAGCCTATTTGTAGTTTTCTAAGTCTTCTGCCTCCCCTGGGGCAGAATTAAATGCCTTCTCCTTTGTGTTCTAATATTTCATTCCTGTCTTCCCTACCATCCCCTGCAAACCAGTGCTTAGTCTAAACTTACCTGTTCTCTGCCTAAGAAGGTCCCTTGGCATTTTCATAAGGCAAGGGTAACCAAAGTGGAGTAATCCCTAAGAGACTTAGTGGAGACTTTCTACATGCATTGATATTTGAAGAATAGGATTTGCATACATACACAGAAGGTAAACATTTCAAGTTAGATGAATTCAGTTGCAAGCTTGGTACCTTGTCTTAAATCTGAGGATCATGTTGGGGATTAGTGGTAAATCGTATTGGAGAAGTGGTGGTGTCAATATTGGGACAAAAATAAATCCATTTAATGAAGTAGTAGAGGATTAATGGAAGGTGGTTCTTTTTGTTCATTTAACACATTTCTCTTTCAGTGGAACTTTAGAGTGTTTATTCATTTTTTTGTAACAACATTGAAAACAAAATAGTATTTGAGAAATGTAACAAATATTTATATAAATGTAAAAAAGAACTTGTCTAATTCTATAAGCCTAGTGTAAACTTTTCGGTTTTTCCTTATCACCTTTCATATGAGTGTCTAATCTCCAAATTACAAATCTCCCTTCTAAGGGAAGCTTTACTTGGGCATCTTCATACAGATAGCAACCTACATGCTAATACTCCTCTCCCTTACCTGCTTTATGTTTCTCCATCCCATCTATGAGCCTGTAACTGTACCACATATTTTACTAATTTTTCATTGCTTATTATTGTCCCCATTAGAGTATAAACTTCAGGCAATACTCAGTAAATATTTATTGAATGAATGAATGTATACATATTTTAAGGCATTGTTGTTACAATAGCTGCTCTATTGTGTATACTCCTGTTTGCACTTAACAAGTGTTTCTATATAGTTTTTATAATTGCACCTTTTCACGGTTATATAAGTATGTAGCATTAATGTACAGTGACAGATTAAATCATGTCCCTAATGACATTTTGCTTCTATTTGTTTCCCTTTCCTACATTGGATTTCCTACCTTCAACATTGTTACTGTTGAATGCTTTGGATAAGTTTCTAGGAGTAGAAACCAAGCTCTGAAGGATTTTCATAGTACTTGCTCATAATAGGGTCTTGACTAGGCAGATGAGCAATTCTCATATTCATTCTTTCTCTCTTTCCTTAAAAAAATATTTTTGAGACCATATGTGTAAATGCATTGGCTTAGGTCAAGTAGGGGACATAAGATAAATATTCTAGGCCTGTCCTTGAAGTGCAACCCGGAGCATTTATATATAAACAATGATTGCAACAAAAGGACAGACTGAGATAAGTGTTTGACAGAGGTGTCAGAGGACAGACCTAGGGAGGGAGAATCAGAGAGAATCTTGTGAAGGAGATCATAGCATTTAAACTGAGCTTTGAAGGATAAGTAGGACTTAATTGGCATGAATGAGAAAACAACATGAATTAGGGTAGTGATGTGAAGTTGCTAGATATCCATTGAGGCAAAACCAAACAGGCCTGACATGTAGAATGGGAAGTACAGATGGACAAGTGCAGATGGGAAGTGCAAATGGCCCAAGCTAAGTAGCTTGGGCCACTGCTCAGGGCCTCAGATATTTTGCTGGTGTGTTTGGGTTTTAATCTGTCAGCAGTACTGGGCAGTGTCAATTAAAGGATTTTTTTCACTGCTTTGTTAATTGGGTTACCTTGGACAAGTTAACTTCTCTGATCCTTAGTTTTCTCATCTGTAAAATTGGAATGAAACAACTACTTTGTAAAATTGTTACAAAGAATAAAGAGAATAGAATTGAGTTTCTTAGCAAGGTGCCTAATGCACGGGAACATAACATTTTAATGTTTAAAAATATTAATTCCTGACCCCCTTGTTTAAAATTGCACTTTTTGCAAAAAGAGAACTATTTAAAATATTTCTATAGTATACTTATTAAGTGTTACATAATACGTATGCCTTTTAGATACCTTTTTATTGCTGGGGAGGATAGATTATGTGGATTTACCCCAATTTGTTTATCTATTCATCTGTTTGAGTTCTTTCCACTTTGGAGCAACCATAATTAAGGTTGTGAACATCCATGTACGAAGTCAGTATATGAACATATGCTTTTATTTTTCTTGGATGAATACCTGTAAGTGGAGTGACTGTGTCATGTAATAGTCCCAAGTTTAATTTCTTAAGCAACTGCAGAACTGTTTTCCTTGGGAGTTGCACCATTTTTACCTTCCTTTGGGCAATGAATAAGACTTGCAGTTGCTGTACATCCTTGCCAGCATTTGGTATGGCCTGTCATGGTGACTTTAGACATCTAGTAAGTATATTGTCTCCCTGTGGTTTTAGCTTTCATTTTCTTAGTGACTAATGATACTGCATATCTTTTCATGTGCTTACTTGCTATTTGTATGTCTTCTTGGGTATTAGTATCTGTTCACATATTTTGCCAGTTTTTTCTTTAATGCATTGTTTGGTTTCCTCAGCTGATTTTTGAGATTTCTTCATATAGTCTAGACTTAGGTCCTTGCCAGACAGGTGATTTGCAAGTATTTTCTCTGAGTTGTGACTTGACTTTCATTTACTTAGCTGTGCTTCTCAAAGAGCAAATGGTCTAAATCATAATTGAGTCCAGCTTATCAGACTTTTTTTTTTTCTAAACCTTTGGGCTGAACTTTTTATTGGCATGAGTGCCTGTGTGCTCTCAGTGGAAACATTCATATGTTGGCTGCAAAAGAAAGTACAGATTTAGTGTACTAAAGGCAGTTTAGGGATGTTAATGAACAATGTATGAAAGTAAAGATGTGTGAAAGTGAAGACCATTTTTCATACATTCCTCCAAAGGATTGCTTTAAAGGAGAAATATAGAAGATATGACAAATTAGAATATCATATTTCAAAAACTGTTGAAATGATGGATCTAGGTAATGCACATCAATAACTGCTACCATCACAAGAAAAAAGAGGAACATTAAGAAATTATGTGCTCCTTATAGAAATATCAAAACAACCTTTGAAAGCCTTGCCAGAGGATCAAACATGAATCTGATCAAGGTAACTACCTACCAATTTACAGGAAATACAGGGACAGAACATAATAAAATGACACGTGGGTATCCAATTAGCAAAATCCAGACTGCGAGTAACTCTTCAGGAACAACCACCCAGTGTTTCACAGATAAACTGCAAAAGAGATAGAGGGAAGGCAAGATGTAGGGGGGAAACCTATTGAGGGAGTCATGAGAGACTTACCAATAATTACAGTATAGGAATCCTATTTCAGTCATGATTTTAAAAGATTATGAAACAATCAAAATTATAGCTTGTCTTAATATTTTATGACATTGATTTTTTTAACATCGGATATAGTGGTATTATAGCTTTGCCTATTAAAATAATCATATCACTGCTGGGCATGGGTGGCACACGCGTATAACCCCAGTGGTCAGGAGGCTGAGGCAGAAGGATTACAAGTTCAAATCCAGCCTCAGCAATTTAGCAAGGCCCTATGCAACTTAATGAGAACTTATCTCAATAAAATATAAAAAAGGCTGGGAATGTGGCTCAGTGGTTAAATACCCCTGGATTCAAAACATGTTACCTCCCCCAAAATCATTTTAGAGATACATAATGAAACATTTATAAATCATTGGATATTGGATATCTGATTCAAAATAATCAGGGAAGAGAAAGAAGTAGAGATTTGGATGAAACAGGATTTTCCATAGGATATTAACTGTTGAAGCTGCATCATGGGCACATGAAGGGGTTTATTATACCATTCTCTACCTTTCCCTATATGTTTGAAACTGCTTACAGAATGTTGGATTTTTTTTTAAAGGAGATATAAGTATAGGTAACTAAGTTTTTCAGGGAACAGGTGGTCAGTCTCCAAGAAATCTCAAAAGAAAAAGAAGCCCTGGAAGATAGCTGGAAGAAAGAGGTGCCCCTTCAATAGGCCCCTGAGGGTCATTGTAGCCATAGTGGCTTGAGAAGGAGGCCTCTGTGTTGTGTAAGTTATGCCACATTTTTCTTGTGATAGCACTATTCTGTTATCTTCACTTACTAATATAATAGTTCCCCCAAACAAAAACTATGTCCTATATATCTCTAGTTCCCTAGCATCTAGCTCAGTGCCAGCTTAGCAAGAAATGTTGAATCTGAAAGATGAATGAATAAATAAATGAATTTAGCAAGGAAGAAATCTTTATATTGAACTTATTTGTTTTTTGCCAAAGAGATTCTGTTTTACCAAGGGCTGATTGATTGCCTCTATTTGGGTTCAGGTAATCAATAGCTGTGACATATTTACAAACAAAACAGAACAGAACATCCCCAAAAATGATTTATAGTGTCAGAAATTGTAGTTACTTTTCAATTTTTTTGTTTTATTAAATGACTGAACTGATGGATGAAGGACGTCCAAAGTTAGTTAAATGTAGGATCCTTAGAAACACTTTGTCATTTCTTTTGATGGGGGCATTTAGGATATGAGTTCTAATTAGTTTAGAGTAGATTGTGGCCTTATTTACTGAAAAAGAGAGAAGCAGTTAGAATAGATGGTTCAGTGACTCTTTTGAACCCTAGAGTATATTCATATATTTTGAACAATGTAGCGATTGCTATACTTATTGGTAGAATACTGCCACCTATGGAACAACAGTAAAACTTTTCATTAGAATCCATGGGTTGTTTTTTTTTTTTTTTGCATAATGCTATTAAAAATTTGGAAAACTTGCCATTTAAATTTATTCTTCAGTGAATTCTTTCACTTACCATAATTCTTATGCTAAGTGAAGCAGTTGTATAGTGGAAAAATTATATCTCAGATTAATTTTTAATTAATAGTTATGGCTCAGATTTATATTTTATAGACATCTGAGTTGAGTTTGCCTAAACAAAGACAAAGGTATGGGAAAATGTTTAAGTTTATTAAGCTCATTGAGCTTTTTGTTTTCTTATCAGAAGCATAGGGACTTGGGATTGTGGTTAATGAACTCCTAACATTTTAAGCCTGAAAGGTACCTAAAACATTCAGGTTAGCATTCTATGATTAGCCCATCATTGAATTTGATGTTGATATTCACACGAGAAGAATCTAAGAGTGGAATTCAGTGAAGCAGTTGTATAGTGGAAAAAGAATAAAACTGGCGGTTTGGAAACCTCAGAGGTTCTAGTGAAGCCTTGTTGGTGAACTTAATCTAAGGCTTAGGGTCAGTAACTTAAATGTCTCTGGATGATGATTATCTCATCAGAAAGAGCGGTTTTCAAACTCTTTTGGAAAGCAGACTACTATGAGTTAAAATATTTGAGCCTAGACTCCCCCCATATGATTTTCATGATGTATCAGTAGTATGAATTTAAGTATGAATTACTATGATCAGCTTCTATCTAAGGGTATAGAATCAGATCAGTGCAACATAGTGTTTAGAAGCAGAGCCTCTGATGGTTTTAGCCTCTGGTGGTTTTAGGTCCAAGCAAACTGATTGTGTGTCCTCAGCAGTAAAATAGGATAATACCTGATAGGGTTATTATAAAATTAAGTGTGAATATGTAACAGTGTCTAGAACATAGAAAGCAATCTAAGATATGCTTATTATTATTGTTGTTATCAATATTTCTGCATTTCAGATGTCTGATCATTTCATTTACTTCCTATTGTATCTGATAAGAAAGTCATTGCTCTTACTTGGGTATATGCTAAGGAGGAATTCTAGGAGTGGGAGTGTCATCCCGCCGTGTTCTTACTGTTCTGTTGAGTTGTGTCTTCACTCCATTCAACCACTGATTTCTTTGCAGGAGACTTTTAAAGCTGTCTGTCCATGGCATGAGGGTTGTTTAGTTAAAAACTTAAAACTGTATAATTTCATAATTTGTAAAACCACTCAACTGGATGCTTTGAAGACTGATCTACCAGACTGGGCTAACTCCTCATTTCCATGGGTGTGTTATTCAGACTTTTGAAACAGGGAAAATGAGGCAACTTTTTTCAGTTTCAGCATGCTTTAGTGTTTGTAAGGGAAACTCTGAAAAAATTACTTCTCATTGGTTACTCAAGAGTGAGAAGCAGTATGAGAAAGCTAATGGCCAGAGTGTGGCGTATATTTTAAGTACAATTAATTCGTGGAACAGAATCTGTATTTAATATATGAAGGTAAGCTGAAAAGTGAGGGTTAATGTATTTTGGGGGGTTTCTTAAATTAAAGTTTTGAAGGTAGACCATGTCTGATTTTCTGTCTATCCTTTCTGTGGTATAGCATCTATTTTTATTCTGTGAAAATTATGTAAATAGTAATTGATGATTCTTATTCAAGATTTCTACTTATACCCGTATATATTACAATGTATTTATACACACAAGTGCAGCTTTTGACAGATTTTTACCTCATGACACCTTCACATAATTTTATTAACTTCTAAATGATAGTGTCATTTTTGGTACATAAAACTATTTTCTGAGTCCAGAAATAAACTGGACAGTGTCTTCTCTGGTTGGTCTCATGTGTTCTCTTCCTGCCCTTGCAGAATCAATATAATAATGCCTTTTCTGCTTTTGTATTGATTGAAGAAGAAATAAAATTGATTAATAAATATATGAAAAAGTGTTCATCATCTCTAGCAATTAGAGAAATGCAAATCAAAACTACTTTTTAAAAAAAAAAATATATATATATATATATATATATATATATATTTGTTGTTGTTGTTGTTGACACAGTGCCTTTATTTTATTTATATATGGTGCTGAGGATCGAACCCAGGGCCTCACACGTGTTAGACGAGCACTCTTCCACTGAGCCCCAGCCCCAGCCCCTCAAAACTACTTTAAGATTTCATCTCACTCCAGTCATAATGGCAGCTATCAGCAATATAAGCACAATAAGTGTTGGTGAGGTTGTGGGGGGAAAAGGCACACTCGTACATTGCTGGTAGAACTGCAAATTGGTGCAACCACTCTGGAAAGCAGTATGGAGATTCCTTATAAAACTTAGAATGGAACCACCATTTGACCCAGCTATCCCACTTTTTTGTCCATACCCAAAGGACTTAAAAACAGCATACTACAGAGATCCAGCCACATCAATATTTATAGTAGCTCAACTTACAATAGCTAAACTATGGAACCAACTTAGGTGTCCTTTGGTAGCTGAATGGGTAAAGAAAATGTGGTGTAGATACACATGGAATATTATTCAGCCTTAAAGAAGAATGAAATGATGGCATTTGCCAGTGAATGGATGGAGCTGGAGACTATCATGCTAAGCAAAATAAGCCAATCCCAAAAAACCAAAAGCTGAATGTTTTCTCTGATATGGAGATACTAATTCACAATAAGCATGGGGCGTGGGGCTAGAGAAGAATAGAGTTACTTTGAATTAGGCAGAGAGGAATGAAGGGAGGGGCGGGGGTATGGAGGTAGAAAGGATAACAGAATGAATTGGACATTAATACTCTATGTGCATAGATGATTATGTGACCAGTGTGATTCTACATCATGTGCAACCAGAAGAAAGTTATGCTCCATTTATGTATGATATGTCAAAGTGCATTCTTCTGTCATGTATAATTAGAACAAATAAAAAAATTGTGGTAAAATATGCATAACATTTACCATCTTACCTTTTTAAAATGTGCATCTCAGTGGCATTAAGTATATTCACATTGTTATGCAGCCATTAACATTGTCTGTGCCCCTAGCTTATTTTACTTGTTTCTTTGTAGTTCATCCACATCATGGCATTTGTCAGAGTTTCCTTCCTTTTTAAGGCTGAATAATATTCCATTGTGTGGATAGACCATGGCTTATCCATTCAGTCATTGATGGACATTTGGGTTGCTTCTGCTTTATAACTGTTGTGGATAATGCTGCCCGAACATGCAGTGGTATGAATTTAATAGAACTTTATAAAATACTTTTTTTCTAGGTGGTTGGTTCTGGCTATTGCCATGGTACGTTTTTATATGGAAAAAGGAACACACAGAGGTTTATATAAAAGTATTCAGAAGACACTTAAATTTTTCCAGACATTTGCCTTGCTTGAGGTAAGTTTTCTATCGTGCTATTTCTCTATGTTGCAGTATTTTTTGAAAATATTTTTGTTGATCAGTGTCAATCTTATTTTGCTACTTACCACCTACAGATTGGTTTAATACCAGTGTTGAAGGGGAGTTATTTTATATAATTGACTTTTGATTTTTTTTTTTATTTGCTTACAGATAGTCCACTGTTTAATTGGTGAGTTTTTGCTCTGATTTTATCTTTTCATTATGATTTGCCTTTAGGGCAATAGTTGACTTGTTTTTCTCTTCAAGGAATTGTGCCTACTTCTGTGCTTGTGACTGGGGTCCAAGTGAGTTCAAGAATCTTTATGGTGTGGCTTATTACTCACAGTATAAAACCGGTAAGTAATATAAACATGCTGTGTTCTTGAGCCTGCAGTGAAGCTTTGCATTTATTGATGTCTAAAATATTAACATTTGCATATTTCAGAAAGCAGAATATTTAGGCAAAAAAGAATTGGATTTAAATTTAAGTATCATTCTATGTTGATTTCGTGCTGTGATAGACTGACTTTGAAAAATAAACAACCAAATTATTGACATTTTTACCCACAATATACTCTTCTCTGATGTTTATAGTGGTTTTTAAAATTAACATTCATCTTCTGTCAGATACCTAAGTGAAAATTTTCTGCTGAAGTTTTTTTTTTTCTATTAAAGTGATTCTCTTTGATTCTATAATTGAAGTTGTCAGTATAAACAGTTTATTTTTCCTCATTTAGCATTAGTATTCTTGCACATTCAAAAAGTAAATGTAGTGGGTCTGAACAAATGGAAAAGACTAAATTAAAAGTGAGTTTTTTTTTTTTAAATAATCAAAGGGTACAAAATCTCAGTTAAGCAAGAGGAATAAGTTCAAGAGATCTGTTGCACAACATGGGAAATGGCGTTAATTAAAAGGTATTTCTAACAGTAGGTTTTCAGTGTTCTCACCACAAATAAATGCCAAATCTAGGAAGGAGTACACTTGTTAATTAGCTTGCTTTAGCCATTCCATAACGTCTATGTATTTTAAAACACCATGTTTTACAGTGTAAATATATGCAATTTAAAAAATATATATATTTTTAGTTGTAGAGGGACACAGTATCTTTTTACTTTTGTTTATTTTTATGTGGTGCTAAGGATCAAACCCAGTACCTCACACGTACTAGGCTAGCGCTCTACCCCTGAACTACAGCCCCAGCCCAAATACGTGCCATTTTAATTTGTCAATTAAAGCATAATATTTAAAAAAGGTAGGGTCAAAACACTTAGGGAAAATATTATTTATGGAGGCATGAAAAGAGACAGACTTAATTACTGAATCTAATTAATGGCTTAAGTCTTTTTAGACAAAACAAATACCAGGCCGATGCTGTCAAGACACTGGGCTTTTTAAACCTACTACGGTAACATTTCCCTGCTCGACCCCTCTGACCTTCTTGACAGCCCTGGTAGCCTACTGTCTACTTGAGGACAGATCTCTGGCCTCCTTTCCATTCTGCAGATGCCTTTCTTGTCTCCTCTGTGCTTTGGGACTGGCACCTAACCTCCTCTCCATTTCCTCTTAGCCTCGCTGGCCGCCTGTCTGCTTGGGGACAGATCTCTGACCTTACGCCCTTTTACTACTCCACACTGTTGTCCCTCTTGACTGGTGTGTTTCACTCCACTTTCTGGATCTACCCAGTCCCTAACCACCGTACCCATAGCTGTGAGCACATGCTGCAGGGAGAGGCAGCCTCTTCATTGATTCTGGTTGCTTCCCAACTTAAAAGCAGGAATACAACATTATCAGAATAAAAGACAGCCCAGACTGTCTCTTCCAGGCCACAGAGGATCTGAAGAAGGAGGGAGAAGAAAGACAAAGTTAGGAAAGCCAATATGCACTAGAGAGAGAAGAAATTAAAGTAACACTGCTATGGAGTGGCAAGTTCCAAAGAGGGGGAAAAAAAAAAAGGATCTTTCCTTTTATCCAGAGAATCTGTCCCTTAGTATTACTTTTTCTTTTTGTTCCATAATAGTTTTCCATTGGCACCTATCAGCCACTTCTTAATTAATTCAACATTTATTGAACACATTTGGTATACTTAGCAGAGTTCTAATTTCTGCATTTACAAAAATAAATAAGGTAATACAAGCTGTCAAGGTACTGGCTATTGGGAAGTGGGGCAGGGGGCGGCAGCAGTTCAACAAGCATTGAATCATGGAACAGATACTAACTGCAGCTGTTCAATGCCTGACACTGTGGGATATGGCTGTTATAACACATATATGATTCCCATCTCAGGGAGCCCAAAATTAAGAGAGAAGATAAGTAAGTGGTAACACAAATGCTTATTTAATTATATTAGTGTTAAGTGCTTTAAAACGAGAGCCCAGTTTGCATTGCAATAACCTAGGGACCAAGTCCTTTCTAGGGAGTGATAAAGTGAAAAAGTGATATGTAAGTTGAACACAGACAGATACACAAGAATTAGCCAGAAGAAATTTTAATACAGATTGGCACGTGTTGTGTTATATACAAATACAAACAAAATACTGTGAGCACAAGGAAGGTGAGCAAGTAACTGCTCAAGTGCGAGGAGAGACTTAGGAAAGTTTTCCAGAGGGTATAATCTTTTAGCTGATGAGGAAAGATTTTCTATGGGAAACAATAAGGATTAACATTCTAATCAGATGGAATAATGTGTAAGGACCCAAATGTTCAGAGTATATATTCTGGAAATAACACAAAGTTTAGTGTTACCACAATGAGAAGCAGGTGGGAGGATTGCATGGTTGTAGATGAAGCTGGACAGGTTTCTGAGCTCAGATTGTATGGAACCCCAGATATCATGCTCAAGGCTATAGGATTTATCCCTTTACCCCATTTAGCAACAGGGGAGCAGTGAAGCTTTTAAATCATTAAGATTTAGCTGATTTTGTTTGTTTGTTTGCTTTGTTTTGTTTTTAAGAGAAAATTTTCTTCCATGAGGAAAATAGAGGATAAACTGTTTAGGAGATGGTCACAGTAGTCTGGATAAGAAATGATAAGGTGCTGAATTAAAATAGTCGTAATCAGGACCAAGACCGGGGGGCAGATTACAGAGTTCGTATCATAGTAGAATATGTGTGATGTGTGACTGGATGACTAATAGAATGTTGGAGAGTCCGATTGTTGCCATTCTGCTTTCAAGGAGATGATGGTTGGAGTTACTGGCTGGAGTGAAGGATGAGGGAGAAAAATCAGTAAATAGTTGACCATTCCTGTGAGTAGGATGTACTTAACTTCCATGTTAGTAGCTAATTATACAGTGGTAACTGCCTTAAGTTTTCTGTGTTGCATTTGCCTTCCCCACCCAGTCCATTTTAATAAAAAAACAATAAATAATCAAAATAATTAAGATGTATCTCTCTTTGACAAGTAAGTTCAGGGTTGAACGACACTGGATTTCTCTGTACTTCTGCAGATCCAGAATGAGGAGAGTGTGGTGCTTTTTCTGGTGTCGTGGACGGTGACTGAGATCACTCGCTATTCCTTCTACACATTCAGTCTTCTCGACCACTTGCCATACTTCATTAAATGGGCCAGGTGGCGATGTCTTGCAGTTTAGCTTTTTACCATCCTGTGCATGCTTTTTGTGTGCTGAGCTAACACCCGAGAATTAAAATTTGTGTTGCAGCTCACGATGCCAGAATGCGGTTGTTCTGGTTATTAGCAGTGTTATAACTTGTATTCTAGAAGCTTAATTTAATGATCAGAGGTGAATCATGTTAATATGCATTTTGTGTGAAATTGAAACAAGATAAATCCTTAAGTAATCTCAGAACCAGTCATTTATTTTTCTTTGAAAGTATGATATGTACTTTTGGAATTACATTAAAGCTGTACTAAATATGTGGTATTTTATCTGATTGATTTAAATCATTTTAATATTCAGTCTGACATCCACAACTTTTAACTTCTTATATAACAGTACCTGTTTTTTCTTTTGTTCTAAATAGTAGAGACAGACATTTTCTTGAAATTGTATTAGGAATGTGAACCAAAGTTATATTTTAGGGGTTCCAAATATGTCTATCCTAAACTAATAGTTCTAAAAACAAAGATATAGCCAATTATCTTTAAAAATATAATTTTTAAGATATTATCTTAAAAAGATAATATCTTTTTTTTTTTTTTTTTGGCTACTTGGGGATTGAACCCAGGATTGCTCTGCCACTGAGCCACATCCCCATTCCTTTTTATATTTGAATTGGAGTCTCATTAAGTTACTAAGACTGGCCTCAAAACTTGTGATACTCCTTCCTTAGCCTCCCCAGTCACTGGGATCACAGGTGTGTACCACCACACCCAGCTCCTGTTCTTTTTGAATTCTTTGGGCAACTAATATTTTACAAAGATATTTAGAAACAAAACTGCTCTTTGGAGACCAAATCACAAACCAGTATAGATTTGTCCATTCCATTCTCTTTGTTGTGTTTATAGTAGTAATAACATAATAACAGCTGGTGTATGCTGGCTGCACACCTGATGCGCAGCTATGAACCAGACACAACCAGAGGTATCGTCTCATGAAGAAGACAAAAAGTTACAAAACTAATAGGTTCATGATAAGTCAGGAGGTGGTAAGTGCAAGATGTACTCCCATCTCTGAGTATGACAGTAGTAGTTAACTGATGCCTTATGTAGAATAATTAGATCTATAGTAGTGATTTATTATAGTAGTAAATAAAAGTAATGTTTTCATTGTAAAAAGCTCAGAAGTATATAGAATAAACATGATCAGTTCCTGCCCAGCCCACAGGCTTCCTTTAGAAGGGAAAACCAGAATTACACAGACTTTTTTAGAAAAAAAAATATAAAAACACAGGTGTGAATTTTCAAAACATAAGTAGGGTGATACTATACTTGGTTTTTGTTTATATCTTGGAGCTCTCTCTTTTTTTTTTTAATCAGTACAGGTAAATTTTGATCTCTTTCTTTAATATTCTAATGAACCAATTCTCATTCTAAGTGAACCAGTTCTCTATGGTTGGAATTTAGATTGTTTCCAGTCTTCTGATAGTATAAGTAATGCTTTGACATCCTATATCCAATGCTATATTTCTGTTATTTTTTTAAAAAAACTCTGATATTTGTTAGTTTCAGATCCTCATAAGAGCCTAACACTTTTTCTTAATTGATTACCTTTTTTTATAGCTCATGTATTATACATGTTCAAATATAATAAATTAGAATATATAAATTTAAAAAAGGAAATAGCTTTAAAATCCATCTATACAAGAATGACCACTGATCTGATCAAGGATTATGTTCTGTTATATTGTCTCTCAGACTTTTAAAAACATTCTTTTTTAGACATTTGTGATTTACCACTTTACATATAATAAAATTCTTTAAGATTATATTTTTAGTTTAAATATATTGTCTGTCACAAGAAGGTTGCTCTACCGTTTATAGATGTCTGGTTGATTTTATCAGTGTCCTACATAAATATATATCCACTTTTAATGATTGAACCTTTTACAGGGTTGGCAGTTTTGAATGTAGTTGGATTTAGAATGCATATCAATATCATTTTGCATGATAGTCTTTGGGACCTCTGGTGTCTTTAAAAATATTAACTCATGGCATAGACTCTTTTAATTGGCTATATTTACAAAATTTGTTTGAAGAAGGTAACAATGAACCTTATGCATTTTCCTCAGGTCACGCACATTAGTCTTTGATGGTTTGTCTCTGTGCCTTTTGCAATGCATTTGCATGTCTTGCTTTTCTAGAAAAGCACAAAACTGCCATTGTGTGCCTAAGTTTTCTATTTAGAAAAGATTTGTCAATTGCCTTAATGTTAAAAAAGATGCAATGTAAAATCTTTCAACTTTGAAATGCATGTGCTATCATAATCCTTGTCATTTAATCACAATCATAATTACATTTCCTGTCCAAAAAAATCTTAAAAATCTCCACTGTCTGATTATATTTCAACCTCTTTCAGTAATCTAAAATAATAATAGTTTTTAAATTCAAATGTGGAAGCTATTGTTCTCAAATAAAACTTCACTTTAAAAATTGCTTCCTATTTGGCCTACAGACATAATTTAAATGTATTTTGATTCTGCTTATGTGTTGAGGGTGTTCTTGGAAAACTTCACAGAATAGATAATTGTACAGTGGGTTATGTTTTCAAATTCCCTTCCATTTTAATTTCAAAAGTGCATTCCCTCTAAACTATTTGAGGTGACAGTTGGGAATCTTCAAGGAAGTGTTAGATCTTTCTGAATGTGGATAGTTAAATCTCCTGTAAGTCTACCCTCAGAACTTAGTGACATGTAATTTTTTTTTAAAGTACAAGTAGAGTCAGATAAGTTGTATTAGACATTTTCACTGTCTTTAAGGCTTTAAAGAAATTTACTCTAGGAGTGATAATTATTTTTTCTATTAAAAAACAGTGTTACCCAAAAAGTCATTTGAGAGCCACATAAAATAAAAAACAATCAGTTTGGGTTTTTTTTTTCCTTGTGAAAAGAATATAAAATTTTCAGTTACATAATTTTGTTAACTTGAGATAGGAAAAGATTGATTTAAATATTGCACAGATAACTATACAAGACTGGTAAGAAAGCAGGGTTAAAACCAAGGAGAGAATAAATGGGTAGAGGAAAGGGAATCTTTTTTCTTTCACCATTAATTCATTTTGGCAAATAATTGTGTTGTTCTTTCGAGCATCACTTATCCTCATAGATTTGTGGTCCAGAGGAATCGGGTGATTTTTAAGTTGTCTCCAAGCTGCTTCAACCATCAAATTTAACTTCTATAAATGTTTCCAAATGCCAGCAGTGATTAAATAAGACACAGATTGACTTGATTTCTTTTTCCATCAACATTTTGACCTTACTTTTCGATGGTAACTGCTGTATAATGAATGACTTGGAGAAAAGTAATTTTCTTTAGTGAGGAAGTGTCATTGTTTTGGAACCCCTAGGCTCTTCCTGTGTGAGACCAGGAGAAAACTGGGTGTTCCCCTCATAAACAAGGCCTGGCCCTCTCTGGGCTAGAGACCTTGCCAGGGGCCAGATGAACTAGTGGTGATTTTGGAGTTTGAATAGAAATTTCCAGCTCTATTTTTAAGCAAAAGAACTGTATATTTCTTTGAATACATAGTAATTTGTCTTCTTTTATTCTGAGAGCAGTTTGAGACAACACACTCCTTAGTAGTTAACTGATGCCTTATGTAGAATTGTTAGTTCTATAGTAGTGATTAGTTTTAAAAATACCTTTTAAGGATAACTGCTGTGGACATTCTAAGGTTTAGATACACTAGGATCAAAACCAGCGTTTTTAACCACTGAACATTTGATCACTAAATAAACAGCCCAGCCATAGGGGGCAAAAAAGCAGTCCCTTATGATCCCATGCACCAAAGAACACACCTTTACAATAATTAAAAGACTGCGATAAGAAACAAGTAGTGAGCCACAGGGGAGCACACCTATCGTCCTAACTACCCGGGTGGCAGAGGCCAGCTGAGCCATTTAAGCACAGGAGTTTGAGACCAAGCAGGGCAACATAGCATGACCCTGTCTCAAAAAACCCAAAACTTTAAATGTATAAAACTATTTCAATACAGTGAAGTAAGTTCGCTTCTTATTTTACTAAGAAGATCTAGCCATTTAGAATGAAAACTGCCATTAGAAAAAAAAGGAGGGATAGTTAATGAGTAAATGATTAAAGCAAAAAAATGGACCTGCTTATGTGAGGTTATTGTAGGAGAGTCTCAATGTTTAAATGCATTCATTTTGAAAGTCTCATGTTATAAAATCCAAAGTGATTCCAGGAAAATAATTCTCTGAGGTTTTTTTCCTTTCTCCAGGTATAATTTTTTTATCATCTTATACCCTGTTGGAGTTGCTGGTGAACTTCTTACAATATATGCTGCCCTGCCGTATGTGAAGAAAACAGGAATGTTTTCAATAAGACTTCCTAACAAATACAATGTCTCTTTTGACTACTATTATTTTCTTCTCATAACCATGGCCTCATATATACCATGTAAGTATATATTTATTAGTACTTGTGTTTAACACATGCTATGCAGAATTTTAGAAAGGTGTCATAATAACCTAATGACTGCTCAAAATACATTAAAATTGCTCAGTACCATGTTTGTTTATAACTTAGAATAATTGAAGGGGGAATGACTTTTTAACTGGCTATGAGGAAAAAGGTAAGTAAATTAATACACAGTAATTGCTTTTTCAGAATCAGTTAAAAATAGATGTGCTTTGTACAATAAATTTTTCTAAAGAAAAAGAAAAACATTTGAAAAGTATGCTGTATGTAAACATTTGGAATTTAAAATCATTTGTATCTGTTCATTAAGCATACTTGGAAAAATCATCTAGGAGTACTTTTTAGTCTGATTTGTGTTGCTCTGTGTACTAGAAAACAGTAAATATTTCTTTAAATATTTTCAATAATTCAGCCTCTTCACTAAGCCTCTCATTATGTTTCAGTAGTTGAAATAAATTGGTAAGACTTTAAACATTTATTTAAATACTAATAAGATCTATTTTTAGATCAGATTTTGCTAGTCACTAGCAGGAAATAGAAGAGAAAAGGCAAGGTTGTTATGTACCTTTTCTCAGTGAAATGATAGACTGATGTAAGTGCGGGAAGAGAGGAAATGAAAGTCCATAGAATATCACCTAAAGGGGTGTGCATAAAACTTAGACAATACCTTGAGGTCTCTCTCCACCTTTGAAGTTTTTCCAAAATCAGAAGGTACTTGAGTGTTGTCTTCTAGCATTTCACCTAACTCTGTATCCGATTTTTCCATGCAAGCCAGTTCAGGAGGGCTCAGGAAGGTGTTCCTGCACTGTCACCCCCTTGCTTTCCCCAGTACCCAGTTAATGGTAACATGGCTTGAGCAGCAGCAGAGCCTGCATGACTTTTCAAAGTGTTACTGAATTCTAAATTCAGACTTGTTCCTCCTGATCATTAGGAAGGGGTATTTCTCAAGGTGTTTAAGTTTTCTAAACACAGAACAAACAAAAACATTCTCAAAAGTTTATTGCATTAAAATGTTTGGATCTAGAGCTTCATAATATGTTTGGGGGTTAGCAATAATATACACTGTGCTTTATTCCAAACACTGCCACATTTAACAGGTTTCAGGCATAAACAATTTAAAGCAATAGCTTATCTTTCTTTGTTTTCTTTTTTCAATTAAGTGTTTCCACAACTCTATTTTCATATGTTACGTCAAAGAAGAAAGGTGCTTCATGGAGAGGTGATTGTAGAAAAGGATGATTAAATGATCCCTACAAACAAGGTGCTTTTTCCAGAATAACCAGGATTACTTGAGTCCAAGTTTTAATAACAAGAATAAAGAACTTCATGAAATATCATGGAATGTATTATTGTTTCTTAAAATATATCTGAGACTAATGGTGTTTGCCAATATTTGTCTTCATATTGTGCCAAGTCCATTTTTTAGAAGAACTGTATAGTTATTATGAGTTCCTGGGTAGATGTTGATCATTTAGAAAATAACTGGGTGTATTACCTGGGGGCAGGGATCTTTTTATTTTACTAATTTTTTTTTGCAACTTATGCTCAATGCTTTTAAAATCAATCTCTACAAATTAGTTTAATGATATAACGTTAAGACACCTACAGTGACATTTGTGCAGTATTTATAAATGAAGGTAGATACAAAATTATAATAACTATTAAGAATATATTGGAACCCATAATCTATTTTTTCAAGTTAAGAGTAAGGATTTGTGATTAATAACAACATTTTCAAGTGGGAACATCATTTACTATGGTAAGAATTTTGATGTAACAGTGTGAAAATCAAAAATATTCAAGTAGATATCACAGTTTGATAATTTCTTTTTCTGCAATGTTGGGGATAGAACCGGGGGCCTCATACATGCTGAGCAAGTGCTCTACCACTGAGCTACATCCCCAGCCCTAGGAAATGTCTTTGAAAATATTTCTAGGCCATTGAGATTGCTTATTAAGCATTTTTAAAAATTATTTGAATGAACCTCTAAAAGACTTTTTCAACTAGAAGGATTTTAAGAGGTTAGGAAAAAGTAAGTATATACTTTGTCCCCCTGGTAGGAAAACATGTCTGATCATGATGTACCCAGATCTCTGATTGAGAAAGGCTGCTTTATCCCGTGGAATTATCTTATAAAAATCATGTTCTGAAGATCCCTGGTGGTACTTACATGATTCAGTTACCAATTATGATCTGAAACAGACTCACTTTATTCTGAATTCCACTGAATAGCATAAAGTCTTGTAATAAAGCTCTTGTCTTCATGTTTAATGAAAAGATACATTGAGATACTTTACTACTGTTTCACTTCTTAAGTAGGTCCTTTGAAAGTTTTCCCTCATATTATAGTATGCAGATTTACTGACCCAAGTTTAGAGGAAATAAATGTGTCTCTAAAAGAAAAGGAATTTTTTTACATACTGTGGATATCTAGATGTAGTTTTAGCTTTAATATTCTATATTGTTTACATTTACAATCCACACGTAACATTAGACTTCTCAAAATAGCTTGTGTGTTACTGTCTCCTAAACAATTTTTTTTTCATGTAGAATTTGGAGTTCAGAATAGTTTTTGCAAACTTATTTTAAATAACTTGATTTTTCAAAGGTGCTATTTCTTTTGTTACATTACATTATAATGTTTCCTCTGCAGCTGAATGGGATGAGCAGTACATATTAGTTTACTAAGTCTCAACATGCTACTGTTCATTCTGGTCTTATACTGCTTGATGAGTTTTCATCTTCAATTTTTATATGGAAGAATTTTTCATTTTCCCCCATTTAGTAACTTAAGAGATTCATGTGTTCATTTTATGAAATGCTTGTCTTGTGAAAAATATTTTAAGTCGGACTCCTAAAATTTATACTGATTCACCTGTACTCCCCAAACAATTATAACACATTTCCCCCTTAAGTTGTGGAATATCTTAAAGTAGGAATTGTGATTAACTAATAAAAGTGAAAATTCATGAAACCATTTGGTGACCTATGTTAATATGCTTAAAACATATCTGAACTAAATATTAGATTTAGTTTGTTATCTTCTATAGTCAGCCAATTCTAAATTGTCATTTGTGTAGAAGATAAAATGCTAAATGGTAGTTGGATTTTAAAAAGAAAAAGTATTTGAAATTCCTTTGCATTGTTTCCTATGATGGCATATCCTTTGAATTTCTCCCAATCCTCACAACTTTCAATCATCAAATCAGGACTTGAATCAAATAGAATTTGAATTCAATTTTCTGTAGATTGTGGCATTAGGAAAACATGTCAAAATTTTGATACTAGCAACTTTCAATTGTATTTGGTGATGGTATTTGCTAAAATCTGTTTTTTAGTTTTTCATAGCCTACAGCTTGATATATTGTATTGTGCAATTTTTGAAATGTTCTAATATTTTAATTTGATATTAATATAGTGCATCCCTGATAATTTTAACCTACAAAAAAGCATGCCAAAATAAATGTAAGAAAATAATTTCAACCAAAATCCTTTCTTTGTTACTTGGCATCTGTAGATTTTAGAAGCGTGTTTTTTTTTTTTTTTTTTTTGCATGCTTAGATTTTTAATCATCTTTCTGGAATCTCATGGTTTCTTGTGATATATTGTAAGCAATATAAAATCTTTCAATAATCCTTCACACACACACAAATATTTATTTTGTGCCTACTGTATGCCAGCTACCTTTGTAGGAAATTAACATCTTCCTCTGATCTTCTCTCCTCTACCCTACACAGTAAACCTTTATATAATTACCAGGTTACATTAGTTAGCAAATCATATTGCAAAATAATTATTAATGCTTTTAACAAAATACAGTGTGTTGATAGTATGAGGTGATGGGGTTCTTATTACATGTGTATCTGGATAACACTAAATAGACACTATTCTGGCTTAGAACCACAAATCAACCTAAAATCAATTAAAAATTATGAGACTGAGAAATTATTAAGGGATCATAGAAGGAAAAAAAACTCTAAAAAGCAACATCTGAAAAAAATTTCAAATAAATATGCAAACTTACAGGCATTTCTCTTTCTTACTCATATAGATTTGGATCACACAGAGTGGAGAGAAAAAAGCAACATAGCTTTGTAGTTTCTAATATGAAGGCATTGAATTGAATGAAAAATTCAGTTTGTTCATATTTTAGTCTAAATTTATAAGATATTTAAGTAGACATAAGTGATTCCTGTAGATGTGAAGCTTAAAAAGTATATTCTAAAGATCTTAGGTTTTTAGTGTTTCAGTTACAAGTTTTTTTTTTGTTTTTGTTCACTTTTTGTTTTGAAATAATTTTAAACATAAGAAAGTTGCAAAAATAGTAAAGCCTTTATGAAGTGAACTTTGCTTGAATTCCCCCACCACTTCGCATATTTGCTATATATAGCATTCTCTCGCTCTCTCTCCAAACTATGTTGTGAACTATTTGAGAGCAAGTTGAAAACATAATTCCCACGTTTTCTAAGTGTGCATTTTCTAAGAACAAGCAAGGACATTATCTGACTTTGATGTTGTAGAATTTTAAAAAATATTTTGGTTTTATAGTAATACCTAGGTAATAAAAAATATTTTAGTTATAGATGGACACAATAGCTTTGTTTTATTTATTTATTTTTTTATGTGATGCTGAAGATCGAACCCAGTGCCTAACACGTGTGAGTAAGTGATCAACCACTGAGCTACAACCCCAGCTCCAATACCTAGGTATTTTAATAATAGTAAGTTTTTGTTCTAATTTATAGGAGTTTGTTTGTGAAATGAGACATGAGGATTTTTTTTTACCAGATTAGTATGCCTGTGCTGAGATACATGAAGATCAATATCTGTTTTTTAGTGCTTAAAAAGCACTAAATTCTTTATACATACACAGTTTCCAGGCATATTATTAACTCTACCTTTATATTGACTTTTATGCCACTAGATTAGACTGTGATTAATTAATGTACTTTGATTTTGCTTAAAAATTTTTAACTACATTTGGTTCTACATTGCTGTACACTCTTACCATGTTATTGTGTCTTGCTGAAATTATATATAATGCAAGATTGAGATTGCTGTAAAAATTCTTTTATTTCTTGTTTCGTGATAGTGACTTACTCTTTTTTTTTAAGCAATTTGTACAATTTAAATATTTGAAATAATTTTTAAAACCACTCAACACTCTGTGGCTTAACTTTGAGGATAATGATTATAGAAAAGTAGTTTTCAGACCATCGCTTTTATAAGAATCATCTGAGAACCCCAGAATCCTTCCCTTAAAGATTTTAGATCAATGACTGAGGCTGAGAAATCCACATTTTTTAGCAATTTACTTGGCAGCTCTGGTGGAGGCAGTTTGGTTGTCTAACCCTTAAGAAACAGCAACAGAGAAAGGTCAAGGGCAGGAGAGATGATGTCTTCCTAATGCCATAGTCAATGTACCTAATAGAATTGAAAAGAGTCAGTATTTCTTTAGTCATTCCTTTTTGTTTCTTATCAAAACAAACACTATAGTTTTATACCTATAAAAAATAAAAAACATGATATTTACATCCTATGAAGTAAGATTATTTTAGGTGCCTTTTCAGTATATTTTATGCCCATACAAGTTATCACATTCACTTAAGCATAAGAGAGAGAATAATAGTAAAATTGTACTGGATTTAATAATAACATGAAATAATGGACATTATTATGGTTAGCTCTGTTAAAAGATTTTTGTATAGTGCTATTGTTAATTGAATAGAACTTCCAATACTTTTAAAAAATAAGCCTCCCCCAAGACACACACATCTTAGAGGAATGTATTCAAGGTTGTGGGAATTGTATATGCTTCTGTTTGGGAGAAATATTCATGACAAAATAATGATTTGTTTTCCTGGATGATTTTAAATTTAATCACATGTTGATTAAAATAGATTTGTGGCTAAATTAATGTGTTCAGAAGCTGGTTTTATTGAGTTAAACTTTAACTGAAGTTTATTAAAACGCTTAGAACAGAAATTAATCTGAAGAACTGAGGAAATGGAATTATTAATTTACGCTAAGTCTCAGGAAGAGAAAATGGCAATTTTCAGCTCAAAGAGCATGCATTTTGTGACATCAACCTTTCTCAAAGCCGCAACTTTATTACTTGTATATGTAGCATTAGTTTCAAAATCCGGCATTTTTTAATTCCAAAATTAACATATCAGATATTTTATATAGAAACTGAATTCAAGGCATTAAAAGTGGTTTACATCTTTTATGAATTTAAAATTTCAGAAAGTTCAAAATTTCAGAATAGGTTTTATTGCAGTAGAGGTGATACTCTCTGTAGTAAGTTGTATAAAATACAGTAACAGGTTGGTA